GATAAGAAAGGCCGGAGAGATAGCTCAGTGGCATAAGCACCTGCCTGGCAAGCGTAAGGTCCAGAGTTCTATACCCGGTACTGAAAAAAAAAAAAAAAAAGAAAGAAAAGAAAATGGTAAGAACATTAGAAGTATTTTTAAAAGTGTGGGAAAGATTTATAAGAGTGTGGGAAAGGTTTATAAAGCCTTAGAATATATATAAATACTAATAATGTCGCTACTTCACTGATTGCCACTTTTCGCGGGGGAGGAAGGCTATCTGGAACATAGGCTCCACGCTAAGTGAGGGACCACTGTATCCTTTTTTTTCTTTCTTTCTTTCTTTTTTTTTTTTTTTTGCGGAACCAGGGATTGAACTCAGACCCTTGCGCTTGCCAGGCAAGCGATTACTCTACTGAGCCATCTCCCTGGCCCCTTACCACTGCATAAATAGATGGAAAACTATGAAGAAAAACAGATAAGCACAGAATTCCAGAAATGGTTACTCAGACGTAGGTGTGGACTGTGATAAAGGAAAAAAACAAACAAACAAAAACTAACACTGGCACGCTGGGGACTTCGAAACAGCGGTCACGTTCTTGTTCTGTAGCTGGATGTTTGCATCTTATCTTATACCTTTGAATCTCTGTAATATTTAATAAGGTTACCCTGAAGTACAAATTGTAGAATTTAGCATGTGAATTATAGCACACGGGACCGTACATGTGCAAGACAGCTATACTTTTTTGGAGAAAAGGTAATTCATGAGTTTTACCCCATCACTTCTGTTTGATAATTTAAATTAATTTCATTACATTAAAATGTCCTTTTCTCTCCCCCCCATTCCCTCTGCCCCGATGCTCCTCATTTTCTAGGAGAGATTTGAAGCGCTTTTCTCCCTCTATGATGACCAAGTTACATTTCAATTATTTAAAAGCTTTAGAAGAGTCAGGATAAATTTCAGCAAGCCTGACGCCGCAGCCAGGGCGCGAATAGAGCTGCACGAAACGGACTTCAACGGCCGGAAGCTGAAGCTGTACTTCGCGCAGGTACTCAGCGGCGGCGCCGCGACCCCCAGACAAGTGATGTAAACAGTTCTCCTTTATTTTATAACTTCGTTTGAGCAAGACCAGTAGCGGAAGGAATTCCTTTTCCCGGCTGTTTGGCCCAGCGGGGGCTCTGTGCAGGGCGAGGCCTGACACCCTGAGGTGCATTCGCTTTTCTCCTCTGTGTCTTGAGGGGCTCTCATCAGATGACACCCTTGGGATGCAGAAAGTAGCTGTGCAAACCATTTCCTCTGTTTTGTCCATCTTAGGAGGGAGACGCAGGCCAAAAGTTGGCCATCGGGTGGTGACCCAGAAGGCTGCAGAACGGCCGCCCAGTTTTCACGGTTGCCGGGGATTGCCTTGTAATTCTAATCCTACATGGATTTGAGGAACCACTTAAAAAAAAAAAAAACCCCCCCCCCCCCAAGAACTGATAAGGCCTTAAATCTCTAATCAAGAATGAAATGCACTGTGCTGTTTTCCACGGAAGTTCCCCCCCACCTTGATTTTAGCTTTCAAATTAATAAGAGAGGTTTATTGTTTGACTTTCCAAATGAAAACTAAATGCCAGAGCTATCTGGAAATTTCCTAGTAGTCTTTTGCGGTAGAATGCAAAATATGCCACAGTTTTATATTTTTGAAGACTGGAATTGAGTCATGTGTTAGTTTTCTGTCACTTTTAACAAAACCCCGAGATAAATCAGGGAAGCGCCCGGCATTGGCACGAGGTGCGAGATTGTGCGCATGCTCAGTCAGCCTCTTCGCTTTGAGACCTTTGAGGAGGCCAGCACATCACAGCTGAGCGCAGGGGGAGCAGGAGGAAGGAAGAGAAAGGCAACAGGAGTCCTTCCAGGGTGTGCCCCAGTGACCTGCGGCCCTCCTCGACCCCACCTTCCAAAAGTCCCCCCCCCCACCTCCTCAGGGAGGAAGCCTCTGGCCCAGGGCCCAGCAGGCATGCGTTTCCTTGTTCATCCCTTCACCCATTTAGTCTTTAGCTCAGCGCACTGAGCAGCGCATGGGCACAGCCCTGTTCAGCGAATCACGCAGGCTAAGCCCTGCCTTCTGATCATGGACCACTTGGAAAAATTTTAAATTTTCTCCAAAAAAAAAAAAAAAAAGGCAACACAGTGCTCATGAGCATCTCCTCGCACGCAGGTGCAGATGTCCGGTGAGGCAAGGGACAAATCCTACCTCCTGCCGCCGCAGCCCGCCAAGCAGTTCCTCATCTCCCCGCCCGCGTCTCCCCCGGTGGGCTGGAAGCAGAGTGAGGATGCCATGCCTGTCATCAACTACGATTTACTCTGCGCCGTTTCCAAATTGGGGCCAGGTAACAAACTCGTGCTTCTTATTTTTGTCCTAGGAGTTGCTTGTAGTCAGTCACACCAGGGCTACAGCTGCACACCATTAATCCCAGCACTTCTGCGAGGCTGGTGCAGGAGGATCATAAGTTTGAGCCCAGCCTGGGCAATTTCGCAACTTGGCAAGACCTTTTCTTAAAAATAAAAATATAAAAAGGGTTGAGAACATAGCCTAATGTGAAGGCTCTGGGTTCAATCTGTGGGACCATAAAAAACAAAGAACACGTTCAGCGACACACATTCTAGCCAACCAACGACAGAAGAGGGAGCAGGACCCAGTCACCTGGGCCTGGGCTCAGATTCCCTTTCTGTGATCCTGAGTAGGTTGCTTAGTTGCAATTTTCTGAGACTTGATTTTTCTCTCTCTGTGACTAAGATAATTCTAACCTGCTATCTAGTGTGGCTGTGAGCTAAATGGTATGTGTGTGATACTCATAAAGGTAACATCAGTTGTTACTGCCACAAATTCTACTGGGACTCAATAATTTTTTTTGACACCAGGAACTGAACTCA